AAAAAAAAAATCAGTGGATGGCTGTATTCTGACTGTCGAGCGGTCGGCCCTACTGGTCGGCTGCAAAATGGTCGGCAGTCGGGGTTGGCCGTTGGCAGGTATGCAACCCTGGATGGAGTGTTGTTGGAACAACAATTACCAGTTGTGCCAAAGTTATTGCCAGGCCATTGCAGCACTGAAGTACACAGTGCCCACATGTTGAATAACACAGATCGTCAGGAAATTTCTTATTGAGCACAGTACTGGGTGCGATACCAAGAGAGCTGAGGTGGCGTTTGTGAGCTTCCTCTGCTCCTTTCTCTTGCTAAGTGCACCTGTGCTGCACTAATTTCGTTGTGTCTACAATCACGAGTGAGGCTCTGAATGATGACTAAAGCTGGAAAAAGGCGTGATTTATGACCTTTCTCTGGCATCGCTGTGAGCTTTATCAGGCCTTCAAGATTGACAACGAGTGGCTGACCAGGTTTTGTTTGATAGGAGACATGGTAAAGTCATACTTCAAAGGTCAATTTTGTGCTTATGGTGTTGGATTGTGATGGGAGTGAACTTCATGTTAGTGGCAGCTTGTATGTGTTTCTCACGTTCTTATAACTCTTCACGGTTGTCAGATAGGCAGGTTATAGTTTTATTAATTTATGCATTTGTACTTCTGTGATGAATCCTCCGAGAGAGAGAGAGAGAGAGAGAGAGAGAGAGAGAGAGAGAGAGAGAGCGGTGATTGCAAGTTGTGCGACTTGTGGACAGTTGTTTTAATCCGATTTATTTTGTGTTTTCTGTGGTTGGCTGATGTCTGGTATCCTGCGGTACCCTGCTCTTGCCATTGGGCTTGGCCACAATGTAGCTTGCCGCAAAGCGAGCAGAACTACTGGTACAGGCTTATCCTGATATATTGCGAGCACACTCACTCGGATTGGTAAGTCTGGAAGCTCTGTTGACAGCAACCCTCGATTCTAAATCTTTAGGGCTTCCCTTGACCGCAGCCTAGACCTCAGATCTATGGGACTTCCCTTGCCAGTGACCCCTAAACCCTAAACCTTGAACTCTGAGATCGGAGTACTCTGCAATTCAGTCACAGACGATGACTTTAGGAGAGGGTGTCGAGAGCCATGTGGAGAGGATTGGTTCGTGATACGTTATGTGCGAGCGCAAGGTGGTGGAGGGGGGACAAGGTATGGATCCACCAGGGTTGAGAGGACGTGGAATTGCGGTGTAGATGGATCATTCGTAGGGTACCAGGCCGTGTGCCCAGGCCCCCTCTGGCTGCACGGATGGCCTGGTGGGGCAAGGTCCTGGGGAAAACCCTGTGCAAGCTCGCGGAATAGATGTGGTCAGCTCCAGTGCAAAGTAAAAGCTTATGGGAAAGAAAGTATGTTGTGAAGAATTGCAATGCAAACAACTTTAGCCTAAGTTCACCTCAGAATATATTTAGTCCAAGATGCATAAATGAAAAATAAACCTACGGCACGCCTGTCTAATGCCTTTTAAGTTTTAACTTTTAAGCCAGTAGTACTCTAGTGAGTGCATTCTCAAATGTACCTATATACATCCATTTCTGGAGCCTTGGGAAACGTGATGGAGGACGGTACAAAATGAAGAGGCGACAGCGCGTTTGATTCATTGCACCGTTTTCTTTTTTTTTTGGGTCGGCTTTTTGTTTTCGTTATGCTGTATTTTCCCTTTCTGTCACCTTTGCGTTTTTTTTTAAATTTTAAACGAACCTATATTCTTCTCTCGATATATCTCCCTCTACCTACCTACCTACATGACTACAGGGCTTAGCAATCTCTGTTCTATGCGGGGAGCAGTACCCAAGCTTCTAACACCATGCGTGAGCTGGAAGGTGCAATTATGGCTTTCCTAGCCTGCCTGGAGGCCCAAGCCAATTAACTCCGCTGGAGAACCCGCAGCGCATCACAGGGGGCTGTGGGGATAGAATGGATGCCGTGGGGAATCAAACCCATGACCTCCTGCAAACCACTTTCGTGCTCAAACCAACTGAGCTCATCTTGTCGCTGCCTTGTTTTTTTGCTAGTTAAGTCCTGCCCCAGATTTTAAAACGAGGCCCACACTAGCCTCTGCTATGCCTTGTCCCACTTTGCCCAAGGCCCCCTTAAGGAGGTGCAAAAAGTATTAGCAGGCAGTACCAGTGCTTTAAACCCCTTTGAAGTTTGAAGCGGCAGATGAAGCCCATTTACGCCCTCCTCCAACCCCCCGACCGGCAACACGAAGACAAAAGAGAGTCCGGACTTAGGCTGATCTTGGTGGGAGCAGAAATGCCCCACCGCCGGGCCACAACAAGTTTTTTGGGCTGCTCGGGTGAATTGAAGTGCCTTGACTTGACGCCCGTCGGGGCGTCCCAGGTAACCTAGATATTTTTACACTTTGGGTACTTTGCTGGGTAACTGGGTGATGATTTTCATCCTTGTTGCCCTTGTGGGGCTTATTTTCTGTGCAGATGTGCGCTCAGTGGTCCGGTTGTAAACTCAGACAATGAAGTCTGGGTGAATGTATGGTTGTTGATGGTGCAGTTCCTGACACATTCATATGGTGCAAGTCCAGGATGCTAACGCTTAATTATGGTGTGTCACTTTGTGATGTGATTTGGAGATCTGAATTCAAACCATAGTAAAACTGGATTGACAGGGCAGCAACACATGTCATAGTCACTACCGTCTTCCCCTGCACATAACGCATATGCTACGCTTATTATGCGTTGTAAGAGAATACAATGCATAGGTTGCTTTCGATTCAAATACAGCACATATGCGTTCTATTTGAACAGCCCTTGTTTTCAAAGACAACACATGCTTTTCATTTTTTTTCGAAAGAGAAAGTCTTCCATAGGAAAACGACAATTGCTCTTGAATGAGCATTTGCCCGTAATCCACCTCCCTGACCTGGGGATCTTGGATTGTGAATTCCCCTGTTCATCTACCCGGGTGCAAGGAAAATGAACAGAAGCGAGATGACAATATTCAGATTGGACAATCACATTGAAAGCCAAATCCTAACACGGTGTTCAGGAAGCAGCATTGCACCAAAATAACACCAATGGAGAATCGTAGCACTGAAAGTCGATGTCAATGAGAGCTTGCTCTCGCCACCACCAACATATGTATCCAGTCTCTATCTCCCTACCTGGCGCTCGGCACCCAGCCTATTCCCTACACAGCTACTACTTAGCCTACTAATTGACAATGCAACTACTTAGCCTACTAATTGACAATGCAACTGTTGACGTCAGCAGCACCCGAAGTACTTGAAGATGTTGCCTATGCAGAACCATCGCTAATACCAGGTATGTGCCTTCACATCATCATCATCCTTCTCTCTCCCCCGTGACTCTCTCCCACGTCTCCCTTTGTTGTACACCCGAAGACCACCCCTGCGCCTCACTGTAGTCCAAGCCCACCAGCTATGGTGGATGGACTATGGCGCTGCCCTCAGCAGCGCCCTTCTTCCCTGCACGACCGCACGTGCTGCACCTCGCCTCTCAGCACCAGCAGCAGCCCAGGAGCCTTTACTCCAGCATCGCTGCCGCTAGCATGCGAGTGCCTGAATGAGGCTGGCCAGGGAGAGCTCTTCCAAAAGAGCTGGCCTGCTTGCGCAGCCTGGCTGGGCTGGGCTTGGGCCCAGAAGCTTCCGGTAGGCCCCAGGATGCTGCACTTGTGTCCAGCTACTGGGCCTCTTGCGGTTGGGCCTCCCAACTGTCAGTGTATGATGCTGCGATTCTCGCCCAGGGCCTGCATTCTTTGGAAAGCCCAGAAGGCAGTAGAAATGTCTTTGTTGCTCGGCCTGGGTTCCTCTCTACCAACTGACGCGTCGCAACTGCCTGGACCCCAAATATGAATTTGACAGTCGAGGGCCTCTTGTGATATGTTAGGCCCGCCTTCACTTAGGGTGGGCACTCTTACAACAGGGGCCCTTCAGGCCTGCCGAGGACCCAGATCCTTGCACGGGGTTCGCTTGAGAATACAGCGAAAGTTGGAAGTATGTCGCTGTAACAGCAAGGCATTAATTGAGGTTCCTGATCAGATGCTGGATGTACGGCTGCTCATAATACACGTATGTGGCCGGGTAGCCGAGGGAGTACATCTCTGACTGCATTGCTGGTGCGAACACTGACGTGTCTGTTTCGTCTGAGTGAGATAGGATGGGAGAGCGGTGATGCACAGGGACAACATTTGGCAAGTCAACATGCTAAAAGGCTCTGCGATGAGATTCCCTTTTCTTTCGTGGAGTGATAAATGCACCACCTGTGATGAGCATCACTTTTCTTTCTTGCTTTCCAAAGAAGAAACACACATCCAACTGTCCCCCATATGAGGAGGAGACAGCTGTATTTTTTTTTTAAAATCGAAACAGTTGAGGTATGGACTCTGGAGTTTACTCCTATGAGAAATTAACACAGGACATTGGAATTACAATTGCCAATTTGCCAGCTGTATAGATCCCCTTTTCTTACGACCACTGATATCCTCTTCGGTAGACCTCTACAAGGCACGGTTATGGCTATTCCAACTAAGTTCCCCAGGACACAGTGCACCCTGATCATGAATGTATACAGGACACAGTGCACCCTGATCATGAATGTATACAGGACACAGTGCACCCTGATCATGAATATATACAAGCTATCCTTTGGGGCCAATACAGTCATTATGACTGTGGGTTGTGTTCGGGGGAAGAACGTAGCCTTACTTGTAATGCATCATCCTCTGTTGTATGGTTCATACAGACTTGATAGTTAGGCTGCAGGTTTCTGATACATCACTGTCCTAATTGATCGATGTAGCATATAACTCATCTGCTCAATTGCAACGTTGGCGCAGGATTGAGGCTGTGAACCCCCCCGTGCCAGGTACCTCTGTGACAGAGAAAATCTAATGAGCATGCCCTCCAATCCTGTAGAAAAAGAACCAGAAGTCCTTTTGCCTGCAATTGGAGCTTTGTTGCTTGACGAGGACATACCTTCCACTCTTATTTCTGTTGCTTGTATGTGTGCTGACTCTTTCCCTTTTTATATCTTGCCACTCTTTTCGGTTTTGTGAGCCGTTCCTTTGCAAGCTGGTTAGCGGATTGACGACGAAGTGGTCTTACCATATGGAATCCTGCCCTTTAAACCTTGGCTCGGACCGAACGTTCATTTCGGGGTAATGCAATACCTGTAATGACAGCTCAGCACTCTAATTCCAAGACACAGGCCGAGGATGGACGAGGTCTGTGTCCCTTGCATATTTTGCGGATGCCATTTCCTTCGTTGTGATTTCTGAAGTCTTGTTTGTCTGTGTGGCGTGAAGACACTCACCCGAATATGAATAGCGCAAACGCCGCAAAGTGTATTTGATAGTGTCATGACGAGTGTGCGTGTTGGTATTCACTCAATCTCATCCTTGACGATTGTCTTCTGCATTCTGTGCTCGTCTGTTATGGTTTGCACTCTCTCTCTCTCTCTCTGTCTCTCTCTCTCTCTCTCTCTCTCTCTCCCCCCCCCTCTCTCTCCCTCTCCCTCTCTCTCTCCCTCTTCCTCTCTCTCTCTCTCTCTCTCCTTCTCTCTCTCTCTCCCTCTCTCTCGCCTGCCTCTGTCCTTCGCTTGCGCTTTTTCTGCTTCCTTGCCCTACGTGATTTTGAAACGTTGTGGCAGACAGTGGTTGCGTCAGAGCTTTCACAAGTCCGGAGATACTTTCTCAAGTGCTTGCAGACGATCCTGCCTCTGCGCTTGGTAGGTCTTTTTTTAGCTAAATCGTCACAGGTGATGCGGATGTTGGTCAGTGACTGTTGTCGTACACTCTATGACGGACGGGTGCATGGCCCGGATGGGTTGTTGCTGGTGAGCTCATGTGAATCACTGATATTCTGCTTCTGGATATACTGACAAGCTCAGACAGTCTGTGAGGAGGTTCTCAATCAGTTTGCCTTCAGAGCATTCCCATGGGTGCCTCCTCTCAAAACAGGCAGAAAGGTACCTGTTGCTCGCTAAAGTGGTCCACATGTTCCTTGTGTTCATGGAGAGTGGAAAAGACTCATTTGACTGTGTAGCCACCACAATATGAAGTCCCTAAGAGGGCAAGTGTGGTCAAAATGAAACCATCAGAGAATGTATCATTCACCTGCCTATTAAACCACCAGTCCATCCAAAGCTAAAATTGATGAATCAAAAGATGCTAAGTTGATGCATCCGAAGATGCTAAACTGATGAATCAGAAGATGCATTGTGACGAACCTAAAAGTGAGCGCCACTGGCCTTTGGAGAAATGGTGGTGGTATCAGTACTGACCTTTGTGCAAATGAAAAGTCTGGACCCTTAGCCACAAGGTGGAATGGAAAACAGGCCTTTTATGTTTCCATTTTCTTGCCATTTTGTTTCTCGCCTCCACAGCACCACTACGAGTCTATGATGATGATGACGACTAGGACCGTCATTATGGCTGCAGAGCTATACTGACCGAGCGTTCTCCTCGGGCGAGGACAGCATTTTTTTTTTTTTTTTTCTTGCGTACATGTGTCGTAAAAGGCGCGCCAGGCACGTCGCATGATCTCCTTTTCTGTTTTCTTTCCTTTTCTGTTTCGT